CCCGCGCGCACGGGTGCGGGTTGTACCACTCGTACGGGCTCAGCCTGCGGGCACACGGGGGGCGCGGCCCCGCGGGACCACCCCGAGTTCACCTGCGATGGCCCCAGGCCCAACGGGGACCACCCAGACCTGCCTGGGACCACCCCAGACCCAACTGGGACCACCCAGACCCAACTGGGACCACCCAGACCTTCCTGGGACCAACCAGACCCATCTGGGACCACCCAGGCCCAACTGGGACCACCCAGACCTGCCTGGGACCACCCAAACCCATCTGGGACCACCCCGAACCGTCTGGGACCATCCCAGACCCACCTGGGACCACCCAGACCCATCTGGGACCACCCAGAGTTCACCTGGGATGGCCCCAGGCCCAACGGGGACCACCCAGACCCGCCTGGAACCACCCAGGCCCAACTGGGACCACCCTGAACCATCTGGGACCACCCTGAACCCGACTGGGACCACCCTGAACCCGACTGGGACCACCCCAGACCCAACTGGGACCACCCCGAGTTCACCTGGGATGGCCCCAGGCCCAACGGGGACCACCCCAGACCCAACTGGGACCACCCAGGCCCAACTGGGACCACCCAGACCCGACTGGGACCACCCAGACCCAACTGGGACCACCCTGAACCATCTGGGACCACCCCAGACCCGCCTGGGACCACCCCGAGTTCACCTGGGATGGCCCCAGGCCCAACTGGGACCACCCAGACCCAACTGGGACCACCCCAGACCCAACTGGGACCACCCTGAACCCGACTGGGACCACCCAGACCCATCTGGGACCACCCAGACCCAACTGGGACCACCCAGACCCAACTGGGACCACCCTGAACCCGACTGCGACCACCCCAGACCCATCTGGGACCACCCAGACCCAACTGGGACCACCCAGACCCAACTGGCACCACCCAGACCCAACTGGGACCACCCCAAACCCGACTAGGACCACCCTGAACCCGACTGGGACCACCCCGAGTTCACCTGGGATGGCCCCAGGCCTGCCTGGGACCACCTAGACCCGCCTGGGACCACCCAGACCCGATTGGGACCACCCCGAACCGTCTGGGACCAACCAGACCCGACTGGGACCACCCCGAACCCACCAGGGACCACCCTGAACTGTCTGGGACCACCCTGAACCATCTGGGACCACCCCGAACCCGACTGGGACCACCCTGAACCCGACTGGGACCACCCCGAACCGTCTGGAACCACCCAAACCCATCTGGGACCACCCAAACCCATCTGGGATCATCTCAAACCCATCTGGGATCACCTCAAACCCATCTGGGACCACCCAGACCCACCTGGGACCACCCAAACCCATCTGGGACCACCCAAACCCACCTGGGACCACCCAAACCCGACTGGGACCACCCAAACCCGACTGGGACCACCCCAGGTTCACCTGGGTTGGACCCAAACCCACCTGGGACAACCCAAACCCGTCTGGGACAACCCAAACCCACCTGGGACCACCCAAACCCGACTGGAACTACCCAAACCCGACTGGGACCACCCAAACCCACCTGGGACCACCCAAACCCATCTGGGATCATCTCAAACCCACCTGGGACCACCCAAACCCATCTGGGACCACCCAAACCCACCTGGGACCACCCAAACCCGACTGGGACCACCCAAACCCATCTGGGACCACCCAAACCCACCTGGGACCACCCAAACCCATCTGGGACCACCCAAACCCACCTGGGACCACCCAAACCCACCTGGGACCACCCAAACCCCCCTTTGTGAGCTGGGTTTTTCTGGGGGGGTTTTCCCTGGATTTTCACCTCCTCCCTCCCTTTCTCGGGGCCATTTTTTGGGGTGTCCCCGCCCGGTTTCGGGGCGCCCCCGCCCACCTGGCGGCCAGGAAGAGCACGCAGCTGACGGCCAGGTAGGCCAGGAGCATGAAGAGCCACACGGCCGGCGAGAAGGGGTCTAGGAAGGAGAAATACCCCGGCTTGCGGCCCTGGGGGGACGCCGAGTGAGACCCCCGCGCTGGGGTCCCAAACTGCCCCAAACTGACCCCAAATAACCCCAGAACTCACCCAAAACTGACC